GGGGAACGGGTCATTGGGGAGAAAAAAGGACATCTGTAATATTTTAAACAATAATAAAATTAATAATAATAATAGTATTTTTTAAAAATCCTTCTTATGGCAATCTGGGTCCCAAGTGAACTTTAGCTCTAAACATGTGAGCTAACTTAAATTGTTTTTGAGCTGAGGTTACTGGTGTACGTGTGCTGAAGGCTGAAGGATAAGTTTTTGCTGAGTTCAGTTAAAGCAAGTCATAATCTTTTTGCTTGTGGAGGGTCTTGCCTTCAATTTGTAAAAATTGCAACATCTGTGAAGTGCAATAAAGCAAAGTGCAATAAAACGAGACATGCCTGTACAGTTTTCCCTCAGTATCTGCGGGGGATTGGTTCCAGGAACCCCCATAGACACCAAAACCTGCAGGTGCTTAAGTCCCTTATATAAAAGAGCATGGTATTTGCATATAATCTACCCAATCTTCCCATATACTTTAAGTCATCTCCAGATTACTTATAATACCTAATACAATGTGAATGCCATGTAAACAGTTGTTATATTGTATCATTTAAGGATTAATGAGAAGAAAATTAAGTCTGCACATGTTTAGTACAGAGGCAACCATCAAAGACCTAACTATATAGCATGTCAGCAACATTGTAACATTTTATTGGTATTTTCTTTATGCATATGTGGAACCCACTGATATGGAGGCCTGCTGTATACATCTTTCCCAGAAAGTCGTCATGAGGCACCTCACTTAGGATATTTTCATATTGTATTCTGTTTGAATCATGTTAAAATATAATCACTTACAAATCCACAGGAGCTTGGTTAATTCCTAAAACATGTTTTTTCTGTCTTGTTAAGCTATTCTCTTGAATTGTGGCTGCAAAGTGTATGAACAACAGTAATGACTCTGGTGTTTGCAAAGGGGTACTTGATTCTGCCTGCCATTTTGCCCAAAAGTGTTCACTTGACCAAGAACTGGAAAGGGAGCTGATAGCGATCCGCAACCAGGGCGCCCTCCCCATGTACTAAGCCAGCCGTGATTCCTGCCTGGTTTGTGTCATTTTTTCTTACACTAGGAGCTTCCTTCTTCAGAACCAATGGAGGAAGAAGAGGAAGATGATGACCTGGAGCTTTTCGGTGGCTATGACAGTTTCCGGAGTTATAACAGCAGTGCGGGCAGTGAGAGCAGCTCCTATCTAGAGGAGTCAAGTGAAGCAGAAAATGAAGAGAGGGAAGCGGGGGAGCTGCCCACCTCCCCCCTACATTTGCTCAACCCCGGGACTCCTCGCTCCTTGGATGGCAGTGGGTCTGAGCCAGGTACCTTCAGAGTGTCCCTGAAGATGGGGAGGTTTCAGGAGGCTGTGGAGGAAGAGGGGATGTAGGCCCTATGGGCAGAGGCATCCAGGTGTGAAGGGCTGTTGGATCTTAAATATAAGGGATCAGATGTCTAAGGACCTGTGAGAGAGACATAAACATCCCAAGTATCCCCAACAGTCATTTCCTCTCCTGCAGTCTGATTTCATTCACTCTTTCATACAACTAATTTTATTCAGCATATATTAGATGCTAGTCATTAACATGGTGCTACTCTTGCATTTGTGTGAATAGCTAGTGGATTTTTAAGCCTGGATATTGAGAAGACAGGACACCTAATTTGTTCTGATTACTATCCGGGAAGTGACAGGAAATAGCTTGTGGGTCGGAAGTGACAGGGAGGGAAATACAAAATAAAGCGGCTCCCGGGTAAGAGAATTAGTGTGAGGTGGGCAGATAAGAAGCCCCGTGGAGCCTGTGGAAGCCAACTGGCTTCAGTGATGTGATGCTTGGACAGCTGCTGGACTCATGTCAGGGTCGCCAGCGTGCCGGCTGCCTGTGAAAAGAGGCAGGCTAGGCTGGTCTGTGAGGACACTCCTGTTCCTTGGTGCCTAAACTCTTTAGAAAAGTTATCTAAGACCCTCTGCCAGTTGAATCTTCCCTCCTTTCTGTTCATCCTGTCTTCCCCTCACTCTCCTTTCGTTCATCTTTCTCCCTCCTCTCTCCTAACTGTTCTCTTAGAATCTTAGAGCTTTAGAAATGGAAAGCCCCAGTAGAGAGCATCCAGGCCAGGGCTCTCTGTCCTGGCTGCACAGGAGACTCTCTGCCTTGGCACTTTTAAAAGCCCCCACATGACTCTAAAGTGAAGTCAGGGTTGAAAAACTGATCTAGTTCAGCCTCTTTATAGATGAGAAAAAAATACTCAGAAGTTAAATGACTTGGGCACTTTTTTTCTTCTTTGCAAACTTTCCAAGACTCACTTGCTTCCTCTTGGATTTTCCTTAGTCCCACTGTTGGCACACAGCCAGGGGATGTCAAGCAGCTTATCTCAGGTGAAAGATTCAGGACTCACCTGGCTGATGCAGTGCCCAGGTTTAGAAGGGCCCACCGTTTTGTTTGATTTGGGGTGACTGTATCAGGTGAGTCACCTGCTCAGTTCTCTTTCCCAGCTGTCTGTGAGATGTGTGGTATCGTGGGTACAAGGGAAGCCTTCTTCTCCAAGACCAAGAGATTCTGCAGCGTCTCCTGTTCCAGGAGCTACTCCTCCAACTCCAAGAAAGCCAGTATCTTGGCTAGATTACAGGTAAGAGGCAGTCACTGGGGAAGACCCTTCCTGGGGCCAGGGGAGCTGAGACAGGAACAACCAGCTAACTGATGGCAAGGGGCCAGGAGGGCTTGGGAAGGACCTTGCTTGTATCCATCCTATGTCGTAAATTTCCTAGTATTTATTATGATCTCAAACTTTAGAGGGCAAAGGAATCTATTTGTGTAGCTCGTTAACCTGCAGATTCACTTCATTCCCCACCCTCACTCCTCAGAGTATGATACGTTTAATATTCAACCTGTGGGGAGGTTCAGTAAATTTTGAACAAAAACACCCTTGGTCCTTGCTCCACACTTTTATAAATGTTCTGAAAGGAATCTGGGAATGTTCATCAGGCACAGTGGGTTCAGACAGTGACACCTCATCTCTCACTCCATGTCATAGGCAGCCACCCAGAAAGTCTAGTTAATTATTGACCTCCATAGAAGTTTTAGAAATGGAGGATTCTGATGTGTTGTGTAGCCCATACATTAACTTACCTGGTGAGCGTGCTGAGGTCCAGACAGGAAGAATGACTTCCTAGGGTGGCTCTGTAGGCTGAGGGCAGCAGAACAGGGCTGGAAGCTCCTCTCGGGTGCCTGCCCTGCGCTGTTTCATGGTAACGATGGCTGCCTCCGCAGCACTGGATCTCAAACTTGACTGCACATTGGGATCACTTGGAAGGTTTTAAAAATAACAAAGCTTGCGCCCTAGCCAATTTTGCTCAGTGGTTAGAGCGTCGACCTGCAGACTGAAGGGTCTCAGGTTTGAGTCTGGTCAAGGGTTGCAGGCTCCATCCCTGGCCCCGGTCAAGACGCGTGTGGGAGGCAACCAGTTTATGCGTCTCTCTCACACTGATGTCTCTGTCTCTCTCCCTTCCACTCTCTCTGAAAAGCAATGGAAAAAATATCCTCAGGTGAGGATTAAAAAACCGAAAATATCAATGCTTGGGTCTCACTCCCAAAGATTCCGATTTAACTGGGACGAGCATGGCCTGGACACGGGCTTTAAAGAGCCCCCAGGTGACCCTGATGTGCAGCAAAGCTTGCAGCCTCCTATGTTTACGGAAGTCAGTAAGGTCTTCTGTTTAGTGCTTCATATGCTTTCTCACCTTTGTGAGACGGTTACTGTTGTTTCCCTCATTTTGTGGATTGTAGTCGAGGCATAGAAAATCCTTCCTCAGTGAGCTGATAATTTTGTTAATAACAATTTCTCCAAATTGTAGTTAATTGTAGTTATTAATTGTACTTACTAAGGGCTTGGCACTCTCAGTCTAACCAATGATGTCTTATAAATGAATTTTTCAAAATTCCTATTTTAAAGGGTCAAAAATTTTTAGTAACTTGCTCAAAAGTACACAAATAAAATTGAAGAGCCAGGATTTGGCCCCAGGTCTGTGTGGGTTCTAAACCCACATTTCTCCTACACTAATCTCTCATAAATTATCTGGGCCTCTGATCAGTACTTAAGTTACAAATTACAGATGGGATTGGTGTCCTTCAACTTTGGGCGACGACCCCTTTGAGTACCTGATGAAAGCCAGGGACCCTCTTCAAAACATTCATATATGTACAGAACGTTGCCTCCTGATTCAGTTCACAAATTCCACTGACACCCATTCTCTGCCACAAATCTAGAATCACAGGGGTAGGTAATGACTGAGAGTTCAGGCCACTAGGAAAAGGTTCCTAGAGGAAGTAAAGGTTTAAAAGATGGAACAGGTGTCCCTCCTTGCCCCACTGCTCTGCCGCCTGCCCCCAGTCCCTCTCACTTAATGAGGGCTGGGCTCACACCGCAACTCCCATCCTTGCAACCCCCTTCCGATTTAGAGCTAGGCATTGTTATTATTACCACCTTGATTTACAAATGAAGAAACTGAAGCCCCAGAGAGCTTAAGTAACTGGACCCAAGCCAAGAATGGCTACATTCAGAGCTAGGTTCTTAGCCAATTTGCTACAGACATCTCTCCTCCATTCAGGGAAAACCACCTACCAAGAAAGCCAAAGTCCTGCACAAAGCAGCCTGGTCTGCCAAAATTGGGGCCTTTCTCCACTCGCAAGGAACCGGACAGCTAGCAGATGGGACACCAACAGGGCAAGACGGTAAGATGGCTGAGGAATGCTCAGGAAGCTGCTGGGCATGGGAGTGCGGTGCCAGGACTGGGGCAGCCCACTCGGGAGCGAGGAGGGAGAAGATAGCCAGCCAGAGAGAGCCCTGACCTGGGCTTACTGTGGGTTGCATCTTCCCCACCTGGTGTAGGTATTGTGGAAATTTTTCCAGAAAATCCCTTCAATCACCCAGAAATGGCAGGACCCCCACTGATAATTCAAAAACCATGAATTAGCCCCTGTTGTTTTGCATTGATTTTAGCCCTATGGGTTTTGTTTCCCGGGGCAGTGGAAAACCAGATCTAGTTGGGAGGGGGTGGTGGGGCAAGAAAAGGAAACTCTTTCTGAGTATGTAGCAGTTTCTGAGCAAATTGAATACCCGCCCGGAACAGCTTGGCTCTAAGTGGTCTGAGCTGCTGAGATTGACCTCCGCAGGCAGGGGAGTTGCAGGGGCCTAGGCTGTAGCCAATGACAGGTCAGGGGAGGTCTGAGGAATGTAATCTCAAGGGTCTTTGAATTTCCTTTTTTCTTTGGGGGAAGAAAGGTCAGACATTTCCTTCTGGATGTTTACTCCTGAGAGTCTGGCAGCCTTTGGATAAGATCCTGATGGCTGCTAGTGGGGCAGGTATGGGGACAGGTGGCCTCCTTACACACTTGGGATCGAGATGCTGCTGTGGTGGGAAAGGGACCTGCTTCTCCAGGCTCCTCAAGGGCAGGTTCCCAGAGTAGCTGCTCCTTGAGCTCCCAGACTCCACTCCCTTCAACTCCTCTTTCTGCTCTGCAGCGCTGGTCTTGGGTTTCGACTGGGGGAAGTTCCTGAAGGATCACAGTTACAAGGCTGCTCCTGTCAGCTGTTTTAAACACGTGAGTGCCCTGGAAGGGAGGGGAGGGAGAGCAGGGAACCCAGGTCTCACCGCCCACCTCACCTCGCCTCTCCAGAGCACTGTTCCAAGGCTGGACTTTGCTTTGGCACCGGTAGCACACAGTGGTGGGATCTGGGTGGTCTAAGCCCAGCTTTGCCACTCGTTTACCTTTCTGTTCACTTCTTTTCAAAAGTCCTCCCCCAACCCTCAGTGAGAGTTTGTAGCACTAAGCTTGCCCTCTCAGGTCCCCACTTTGTTATTTACATAATGGGACTGTGCTAGTTTATGTCTGAGCACCAAATCTAAAACCCATTTCTCCTTTCTTCCCCATTTTTCATGTTTTCCCATTGAAAGCTTGGTGCTGAACTGCCCTGGGCCCCTTGGTCCCTGGGAGGCAGATGTGGCTACCTCCTGGAGCCCACTGCTGCAGAAGGCTCCCTGACCCCCTACATTGAGAAGCACCAGCAGGCTGAGGCCCTGAGGGCTGGGCATGAGTGGAGGTACTGAACGCAGCATCTGGAGCTTGCGGTGGTCAGCAGGCGAGGAGGGAGGCCAAGAGCAGCACTCCTGTTTTGTCTTCCAAGCCAATTTCCAAAACCCCAGGAAATCCATGAGGAGTCCTCTTTATTCAGAGTCCCCTCACCAGAGTAAACTCATCTCCTAGCCTCTCCTTTCTGAACCTCTACTGATCTCTGCAGGGTGCTGTGAACCATGAGAAGTCTCTGAATTACTAGTTAAAGTGCACATCTTGCCTAGCTTCCCTGGATTCCCTGCACTCCCAGCATCAACATTTTCACTGCAGGGGAGTTAACATCACACTTGCATTTAACATACCTGATTCACATGCTCTGAGAAGCCTGCCCCTGTGCGCCCAGGTAGCATAACCATTTCTAGGTTCTCTGGTGAACTCTATCTCTGTGGCCAGGGAGATGGGACAGGATACCCCAATGGGCTTAAGCTAGGCTGAGAATGAAGAGAAGGTACCAGTGGCAGCAAAGTGAGGATTAGTTATTGGGAAGGCACCCCCAAAAATGGTTCCTTGGGTTCTCTCATCCCCACCCAGGTCCCGCTCTATGACCAGTGGGAAGATGTAATGAAGGGGATGAAGGTGGAGGTGCTCAACAGTGACGCCGTGCTCCCCAGCCGGGTGTACTGGATCGCCTCTGTCATCCAGGCTGCAGGTTGGTGCTCCTCTGGCCAAAGCAGGGGCATCGTCTGGAGAGTGGCATCTCCAGATAGGCAGGCAACGCTGCAGGCAGAAATTGGCTTCATACACCAAAAAACCCACCTGGAGTTTCTGGCTCCCTTGCAACCCTACCTTGCCTACTTTAGAGGGAACCATAGAGCTTGGCAAGTTTGGAAACTCCCATTTTTTTTAGTTTATTCCAGGGATAATCAGACTATAGAAAATTAATTTTCCCCCTTATGCCATACTACTTTCCAAGTAAGTGGACTGGGCTTGTTTTGGCCGTGACTCTTGTGGACAATGGAGACCACATTGTCCGGAAGGAGTTCCTGGAGTAGGCAGTAGAAAGTCCAGGTTAGGCTGCAGGAGGAAGACCTTTCCCCATCCCACCCTCCCTCACTGGTGCTCTTTCCCTCTTCCTAGGGTACCGAGTGCTGCTTCGGTATGAGGGCTTTGAAAATGATGCCAGCCATGACTTCTGGTGCAACCTGGGAACTGTGGATGTCCACCCCATTGGCTGGTGTGCCATCAACAGCAAGATCCTGGTGCCCCCCCGGAGTAAGTTGGTGCTGGTTTCTGCAGGGCCCTTGATAGGAGGGGTGTCCTCTGTCTTAGGTTAGGCCCAAACAGAACCCACTTGCCTCTTCTGCCCCAGAGGCCCTGTGGCAGCCCCAGGTTGTAGAGCCAGGTTCTATAGGATGAAGCGATTGCTGACTTGAAAAGGCAGAAATAAGGTGTTCATTCTTCTCTGCTGATCTCTGGGGCAACTCTGGCACCCTCTGTCGGTGGAAGTGTTGTCAGCATGTAACCAGGAATCTTCTGTCTCGCAGCCATCCATGCCAAATTCACCGACTGGAAGGGCTACCTCATGAAGCGGTTGGTGGGCTCCAGGACGCTTCCCGTGGATTTTCATATCAAGGTCTGGCAGTGAGCCCTCTGGGTCCCCTAAGTGATCTCCCTGTTTAACAGTCTGTATCGGCTCCATGTTTCCCAAGGCAGGATGGTGGTTCCTGCTGCCTTCCCAGCCTGATGCCAGCCTTGTCCCCACCCAGAATCTGATCCAGCCCAATCAGCCACGCCGCCTTGTCTGTCATTGGTTCTTCAAGATCCTTACCTTTGCTCATAACGTTTTCCAGGAGTATTCATTCAATAGATTTTATTAAGTGCTTGTTGTGTACAAGGCACTGTGGGAATGTAGACCCTACCACCAGGACTCTCCTGTCTGGCAGAGGACAGGAAGTCATGCATGTAAATAATTATAAAAGAGCCTTGGTTGTGCTCAGAATTACCTGTGTGGCATTGAATTTTAATTTTAAAAAATTATTTAGTTTTTTAACCTAAAGAGTCCTCCACATGATAAAAATTTAAAGGAATTGAAAGGATACAGAGCGAAGACAGTCTCTCCCACTCTGTAGGCCAGATCTGCTGCTGTGGGGCTCGCTCACCTAGGTGCCTGACCCAAACCTCGGGTCTCCTGACCCCGATGCTCACAGGTGTGGTCCCTCAGTGCCTGGGTGCTACAGCAGTGAGCTAGGGAATGCAGGGCAGGTGCTGCCATGACACAAAATTGAACTGGCTTTGTTGCCTCAGGAGCAGCAGGTAAGGAAGGCTTCATGGGGAAACAGCATTTGAATTTGACCTTGATCACTAGGGCATGGGTGGTATGGAAGCCAGCATTGGAAAACAGGGATGGAGTGGAAGTTGGGGCATCTCACCCAAGATGCCAGACACCAGCTGTAATAAAGGTTGCCACACGGGCCATAACTGGAGGAGAGCGGGCCTTTGGCAAGGGTGGCTCTTAGCACCTCAGGGAGGCATTTTCTGGCTTTATTTCCCTAAGTAGAAATGATCTTTCCCTTCTTTAAACTCAGTGGGTGCTACTCATTTGCTTTTTATCTCTATATTGTTAATTATCTTCTCATATTCTCTTTCCAACCAAACTGTAAGCTTTTTCTCCTGCTTTCCCACAGTGCCTTGCACAGTTGGCAGATTGGCTGTTGAAGGTGATCGTTTCCTTTTTCTCAGCTGGCCCTGGTGGTGGTGGTGCAGGCCACCGTGGGGATCAGGTGGCCTCTTTTCTGCCTAAATTATAAGGAGCTAGACTCTGGGGGCAGAACAGGGTTCCATGTGAGCCAGGTGGCAAGCATGCGTTTACTGTCTGTCACCTATCTGCTTGTGCAGTGCATGCGGGGGGGACACATACGCAGCTGCCTGTGGAGACTGAGGATGGGGAGTATAGAGAGTGGGCTTCTGGAGGAAGCGTCAGTACAAACATGCCCTTTGATGCCTGCAGTATGGTCAGTGCTTAGTAAAATGTTTTACTAAAATGAGTGATGCATCAGCCAGGGTCTGGTGTGTGCCTATGTTTGTTCATTGATGAGAAAAATCATTAACTGAGCACTCACTCTGCCTAGTTGTGTGCGCGGGCTGAGAGTGTAGACGTGAACCGAACCGAACCTAGCTTCTGTCCTTGCAAAGCGCACGCTCCAGTTGTGACCGTAGACAACGGGCAGTAAAGTGTTGGGTTCTGGGCTGCGCTGGGTGGGTGCAGAGGAAAGGAATGTGTCAGGAGAAGCCCGGTAGGGAGGCAGCCCAGAGGGACCCCAGCCCAGGCCTCGCCTGCATCTCTCCCCTTCCAGTCAGGCAGTTGGTGTGGGGTGGTGCGTTCCAACCCAAGTTGAGGGCTGAGGGTCTGTGGTGGAGGACTTTCAGTTTTTCCTGGTAGTGCTCTGTGACCTCTGAGACTCTTTTCCTCCTGGTGAAATTTGAAATAGCACAGCTCAGTGCCCCCGTACCAGGCCTGGGGCTGGGTCTCCCTGAGCCCTCAGTTGAAAAAGCCCTGCAGAGCTCACTGTCCCTGATCCTCACCACAGTTACAGCAAACGAATCTCCTGCCCCCTCCTCCATGCCTGCCATCAGAACTCTCTAGAGCAGCTGGTGGGTCTCTTGGCCACTGTCCTTTACTGGGTCAGAGGGGGCAGGCATTGCTACTGAGGTGCTACGAAAGCAAAAGCCATTTAGAGCCGCAGCCTGGTGAGGCCAGAGCTGGAATTAGATGTATGGAAGCAAAGGGGACTCAGCTGGGGGCCGGGCAGGAGAGGGGAGTGTGGGGTACCCCTGGGATCAGTGCACATCCCTGCAGGAGCATAAAGCTGAATACTGGGCCCAGGTTCAAGGCTCAGCTCTGGCACGAATGAGTGTGGCTCTGGGCAAGTCACCTGACCTCTCGGGGCGCCTGCTTCCTTAGTCTGAAGGGGTTTAATTTCCCCATCAGGTTGACTTACTGGCATGTTGAGGTGCACGTTGTAAGCCACGTGCCTTCTCGGTATCATCCTCAGGACTTGAAGGCCAGAGCTGAACCTGGGAGACGGGAGGGCTCTCTTCCTGACAGTGCTGGGGTGGCTCCACCCCACTTTCCTTGTCCTCTGGTTACTTGTGAGAGATAGCAGGAAGGTGGTGGGAGGGCCCCCATGCCCACAGCAGACCTGTGTTCTGATGTTGCAGATGGTGGAGAGCATGAAGTACCCCTTTCGGCAGGGCATGCGGCTGGAGGTGGTGGACAAGTCCCAGGTGTCACGGACCCGCATGGCCGTGGTGGACACTGTAATTGGGGGTCGCCTACGGCTCCTCTACGAGGATGGTGACAGTGACGACGACTTCTGGTGCCACATGTGGAGCCCCCTGATCCATCCAGTGGGTTGGTCACGGCGTGTCGGCCATGGCATCAAGCTGTCAGGTTAGCAGAGCCCCAAGCCAGTGAGACCCCAGGCTCTGCCTCCCCAAGGCCTGGGTGGGAGCACCCTTATACTCCTCAACAACACTCCGTGGTAGAGGTGATCATCACCCTGCAAATGGTAATACTGGGGCCCAGAAAGGCTGAGTAACTTGGCCAAGGTCACTTGGCTTATAAGTGGTAAAACTGATCTGGACTAGAGACCGGTCGCAAGCCCCGTCTTCTCCCTTGTCACAGGGAAGAGCCGGGGTCTTAAGGGCTGAATAGTTGCTAGAGAGAGCGCCTGATGTTTTTGGTTTTCTAGTCTAGGCGGAGTGGCGGCTGAGATATAGATTAGAGCATATGCAGGGCAGCACCCACATTTCTGGGGGAAGTACAGCAATGACCCTGTTTGTAGCTTTCAACTCCCTTCTCTCCCTCACTCCCTTTGCCATCTCCCCAAAAGAGAGGCGCAGCGACATGGCCCACCATCCCACCTTTCGGAAAATCTACTGTGATGCTGTTCCTTACCTGTTCAAAAAGGTGAGGCGTGGCCCTTGGGTACCTTTTCCCTTGACCATGGGTCCATTCCAGGCCTTAGGACCCAGGCCCTCCCCGTTGCCTTCCCAGCCTGTGGCAGATGAGGCCTGCCTCCCCCACCCTTCCCTTGGGCTGGCCCAGATTCCCCAACTGTCCTGTTCCTTCAAGGTTCGAGCTGTCTACACAGAAGGTGGTTGGTTTGAGGAGGGGATGAAGCTGGAGGCCATTGACCCCCTGAATCTGGGCAACATCTGCGTGGCAACTATCTGCAAGGTGAGCCTGTGGCTGGCCCCCCAACCTCCAGCGTGGCCTTTTCAGGGGAGGGAGCAGGAGCAGAGCCCTGTACTCCATGTCCATCACATTCCCAAAGCTGGCTGTTTCTGGAGTATCTGATTTTGTGAGCAGGGGCTCACCTGCTCCTTGCTCAAAATCTGCTTTCATGTCAGGGTCCAAGGTGCATTGGACAGGTTTTTTTTTAATGTATTTATTGATTTCAGAGAGGAAGGGAGAGGGAGAAAGAGATAGAAACATCAGTGATGAGAGAGTCATTGATTAGCTGCCTCCTGCACTCCCTGACCTGGAATCAATCTCCTGGTTCATGGGTCAAAGCTCAACCGCAGAGTCATGCGGGCCGGGCTGGACAGGTGTTTATTGATCAGCTGCTTGGCCTGAGCCTGTTCTTATGTCAGGTGTAGGCCCTACCTTATCACCTCCATGGGGGCCTTCGCACTGCCACATGCCATCTCCTTTGGGTGCTGGCCTAGCTGAAAGCCTCAGCGGGCTGACTGCTGCAGACCTCCTCCATTATTGCTGCAGAGGACACAGTGGTAAAAAGAATGACATAACCCTAACCCTTCTGGCAGATTGCCCAGTGAGGACAGTCAATAATCCCACAAGCGCAGGCTGCAGAAGTACTGAGAGCTCTGGAGCAGCAGCTCAGGGGAGCTGGCATCTAGCTCCGGTTGGATCCACGGCCTCGTGTCCCCACCACAGCCACCTTGCCCTGGGATGGGGTGCAGCTCGTGATACCATGTTCTCTGTCTCCCTGCCCCTCCTTGGCCACCCCCAGGTTCTCCTGGACGGCTACCTGATGCTCTGTGTGGACGGAGGGCCCTCCACCGATGGCTCCGACTGGTTCTGTTACCATGCCTCCTCCCACGCCATCTTCCCAGCCACCTTTTGCCAAAAGAATGACATTGAGCTCACACCCCCAAAAGGTAAGACTGGCCTGAGCAAGCTACAGTTGCCCTTTTGGTAATGTGCTCCTTCATGGACTCCTCCCACATCCCTCCTCCCTCTGCATCTCCTGCTCCTCCAGGGTACGAGACACACACTTTCAACTGGGACACCTACTTGGAGAAGACCAAGTCGAAAGCAGCTCCATCGAGACTCTTTAACATGGTGAGGAGACTGCGGATGGGGGCGCCCGGGGTGGCCCCGGGGCTGGCCCTGCCCACTGTCAGCGAGTATCTACTGCTGAGATCAGCCACTTCCAGGGAGAAGTCCCAGCTCCGACATAGGCACTGTGCCCCATAGTTCAGCAGACCCTTTCCACAGGGACTGGTGCTTTGGCACAAAGTATAGTGGGGCCATTGGTCAGAGGGACCGTTCCCTGAAGGCACTCAGCCCTGCTCCCTCCCCGGGGCTGGCTAGGTCACTGCCTTCCTCCTCCCCAGGACTGCCCCAACCATGGCTTCAAGGTGGGCATGAAGCTGGAGGCCGTGGACCTGATGGAGCCCCGGCTCATCTGCGTGGCCACGGTGAAGAGGGTGGTGCATAGGCTCCTCAGCATCCACTTCGATGGCTGGGACAGCGAGTATGACCAGTGGGTGGACTGTGAGTCCCCAGACATCTACCCAGTGGGTTGGTGCGAGCTCACCGGCTACCAGCTCCAGCCACCTGTGGCCACAGGTCTGGGTTCTTGCGGCCCTAAGGGTTCTTGACTTTCCTTTTTCCCTCCTGCCCACCTGTGCCCACCCCATTCTTTGGCATGAGATCGAGAAGTCTCCTGGACCACCCTTGCTCCTGACTTCTCTGTCTCCCTTTCCCTCTGGCCTGCAGAGCTCCTTCCTTGATCTTGCCCACTCTGTCATATGCTCGTGCCCTTACCACCCAGGTAAACCACCCAGGCCCCTCGGAGCAGCCCTGGCGATGAGGGTGGGAAGGGACAGCTGCTCTCCAGTCCCTCCCCCAACCCCTCCCCCATTCTCATGCCCAACTTTGGCTTTCCTTCTTGGGGTATCCCGAGTGTAAGGGAGGCCAGAGGGTGGGCAGGCCTCGGGATGTGCCTCTACTGCGCCTCTGGACACTCCCTCACCTCTGTCCTTTTCTTTCAACAACAGAGCCAACCACACCTCTGAAGACCAAAGAGGCCACGAGGAAGAAAAAGAAGCAGTTTGGGAAGAAAAGTAAGTGGGGCTCTAAAGCACCTGGGCTGGCGTGTGCCCCAGGACCAGTGGGCCTGTGTCCTTGAGAGCAGAGCTTGGGGTTGTCACTTAGACATTGACGACGGCCCCTCCATCTCTTCCCCTGCCCTTTGGCCCCATGGGTCGTCATCCTGTCTTCAGGGACCCAGAGCATAATAAGGAGTCTTCAGTCCCTGGCAGTGGGCAGGATGCCCAGGAAAAGACATTGTATTTGAGAGAGAAGGGAAGGGGTCCCACCCCTGCTGCCCCACAGCACAAACCGACCCCCACAGTGCGCAGCTCCTGGGTGCGGAAGTCACAGGTGCTAAAGGAAACAGAAGCTGCTCCCCCAGGCTGCTCGTCTTCCCTCCTGCCCCCCTAAGGGTGGGAGCAAGGGTGGCCATGGAACTTGGGTGTCATTTCCCTAGGCAGGGCCCACTCTCAACAGGTCCTGAGCCCAGCATGGGCTCGGGGCAGCAGGTTGGAGGGGCAGGGGTGGAGGAGGGTGGCGGTGAGGTGGTCCCCGTGACCAGTGAGGTGGTCCCCATGACCAGGCACCAGGCAGAGAAGAGGCTGTCCCGCCACGGGACAGAGAGGAAATGGGTGTGGTCACCGAGCAGGATTAAGGTCATTGGAGGGTATGGAGGGCTCTCTGAGCCTTGGGGCATAGGGCCTGAGGGGTGACGTCAGAAGTTCAGGCCATTTCCCTCAAATGGGTACCATCCCCCCTGCTCTGCTGCCCAACCACTGAGAGAGACCCCGCCTTCCAGCCTCACGCCAACAGAACCCTAATGCTGAGTTTAATCTGTTTTTATTCAAAGGGAAAAGAATTCCTCCGACCAGGACCCGGCCCCTGAGGCAGGGGTCCAAGAAGCCCCCGCTGGGTGAGGACCCGCAGGCCGCAGAGATCTCTTCGGGGCCTGGTCCAGATGAAAGTAAGAGCCACTGGGCTGGGTGGGGTGGGGCGGGGCAGGG